TACAGGCATCGAAAATATTAGTTAACAGAACTACACATCTTCTTGGCAGTGTTTTCAGATCTTTATCATTAATCATATCACAGCCTTTAGCTTTTTAATGTTTTTAATGTTTTTAATTATTGTCCTGACGTCACTGGGGTGATGCAGGGTAGATGAAATTGGTGCAGCTTCTATTTTTAAAGCCAATTACAGAGTGAAGAATTTCGTTTTCGTGTTCAGAAGTTTCACCAGGATGTTTTCCAAAATTTTTTTTATTTTAAATATGTTTACCATAAGAGTGGCAATTTCAGATTCTGAATAGTGGGTTCTAGTCACGTGACCTATTAAATAAAGTTGATTGGTCCTTGTCGTACGAATTGAGTTAGCAATTTTCCAAACGGTTTTTGGATAAATATCAATATTTTCTAGAAGTATATCCCAACTATCTGAACGGTAGTTAATGAGTTGTCTATTAAGATAATTAATATAATGCCTTTCTCTGGGTTGTGGGTTATCTTACAATTTTTTTTCGTCTATTCCTGTTCTTAAATAAATCTTTTATATGGCTTGGAAGGTCAAGAAAGTTTTCAGTATTACACGTGAGGAAGCGTTTTTCATAGCATCTTTCATGTAAATTTGAAAGTTAACTTTAGAAAGTTCTTTTTTAACAGGTGGATAGAAGCCATAAAAATCGAAATTTATAGGATAGTGGTTCTACTTAAGATCCTCTATAACTTCAAGATATGGAGTGTTGGGAATATTTTTCATTAATGCGATATCCAGGATTTCACCTTGACTGCTGTGATAATAGCGAGTTCGGTGATCCGGTGCAACCAGTCTCACGTAATTATTGATTAAATAGTTTGTAGGGTTTATATTTATTTTAACTAACATTTATTTTAAGCTATTTCCTGTCAAGCCTTTACTTCCCCTAGAATTGCAATGCAAGTTGTAAATTTAGGAGAACGCGCAGAGTATTCAAATTTTAGAGAAGTAAATGAGTTTAAAATAGAGAAACGAGATTGTATTGTGCTTCTTGAATCGGGAACGTGAAGGGCTAGGTAGAAATTTTAGAACCGCGCGTTTCGGCCTGTGTGCCTATTTCGGCAGTTCGTTGAATCTTTCACTCTTATCAGAAAGTTTGCTGAATCTCAGCGGTATCTTAGAACGCGGTTAAGTTAGTTACGTAATAGTGACTTCGTTATTTTATTCTCCTGTCATTTATTTTAGTTGCACTTTTCTATCTTGTTTAACCGCGGGTCGGCGTAGTTTGTGAGCGTCAAGTGAACGCAACTGTGATTTCTAAAGTGGAATAAAAAGGTATTTAAACCCTTCTTACGAGTTTGTATAATTTGCAGTTTATAGCAATCACTATTACTATTGCTGACCAATTGGGGCCACGCAACATCATAAGTTATTTGAAATGAAACCATTTCTATTAGGAGTATGACAGTTCAAAGAGGTGTGCTTGGCATTAAAGTGGCCAGCGATGATGGTGGGAAAATTTTGGGAAGTTAATCTGTCCAAAACATTATCACATTATCTTTGAGTAAATTTGCAGGTGGATTGCACACTGAGATCAATAAATATGCTTCATTGAACCCATTGTAGGTAAGTGCAGATGTGTATTCCATAGCACCACTGCGAGGAAGTGAAACTTTAGTGTTTTAATTAACGTGGCTTTTAATAATAATTGCCTTGCCTCCTCCTCTGTTATGTCTTCAGTCTTCTCTTATAATGCTGTAGCCATGAATATTAAGTCGGTCATATGGACGCAGGTGAGTTTCGTTGATCATCATAATGTCGATGTTGTGCTTGTTGAGATAATTTATAATGTCATGTTTTTGCTGCCGAATTCCATTGGCATTAAAACAGGAAACCTTTAGAATTTTTTTAGAATCGCGCTGAATGCAAATGAGTTAGAAGAAGTATTTAAGGAAGATTCAGCTTACTTCGATAGAGAGTGCTAGGAGCCCTTAGTAGCTCGTGTTTGCCTTCTGGGTAAGTCACCCTTGGAGCTGTTACGCTCGGCCGTATATTACGCGCCTTTTGATATTCGCCGCTAGTTTAACTTTAAGGGACTCATACACCTTACAAACCCCCTCATGATCTTCAAATATGTGACTGTGCAGAAATTGAGATTTTTATTTATTTTAAAAGCAATTACTTCCAACTTTTTACCAGCTGACTACATATAGCTGCTTTTGGAACTAGGAACCATAAAGTTTCTGTTGCCACAAATATTTTTGTAATTTAATCCTCTTTGTGACCAAAATATTTCGCCATGTTTCCACCTTGAGCACATGATATTTTAAAAATGGCTAATAGTACATACGTGAAATTGGATGTAATTCTTTATATGGGCACTACTTTCTAACTGAACCAACAATCTGATGAATATCTAGCATTGAAAAATTTTATGGACGGAAACATTACAAATTTTTTTAATAAAATACATTTCTAAACTCAACTCCAAAAAAATAAAATTTAACATGAAATTTTTAGAATTTTAGGTGCACAGTGTAAGGATCTTAAGTTTTACTAACGTTTATTTTATTTTAAATCTTTACTATCACTTCTTATTTCTACATCCGGCCAGAATTAAAAGCGTTAACTTATTTATGCAAAATTTGTCTGGCGAACGCCAAGTACTCAAGTTGTGGCTTTTTGCCAAGCGAGAGAAAGGAAGGAGTTAGTCGAAGCAGGCCGCTTGCCTTAGAAGTTTTACTCAGTTGCTGTTTGTCTTCCAGGCCAGAGGTGTAATCCTCGTGATAATTTTAAACGTATTGTAGTGTTAACAGTCTCTCTGTACTACATACGGCTTCCTGTTAATATCCGGCCAATCTTCCACGTTTATTATTCCAAAGTTAAGTTAGAGTTTTAGTTAATATTTTTATATTCTTACGTTCAGACCACAAGTAGTTGGTCTCTGTATTCCGAAGTACGGAAATTATTGTAAAGAGTGAAAATAAGGGGTTTGTATACCCTTCCTGTGATCTTGTCTACTTCCCACATTTTTGAACATAGCTTTAGTAGCTCCCTGTTCCGAGTCAGGTCTGTGCATGTTCCCAAAGAAAGTAAGACGGAACATTGAACCTGATAACAGTAGTTTTCAAATGTTATAAAAGCTATATATTAAATATGGAATTAAATTATGAAACAGAATGTTTCAAACTGTCCGCGCAATTGGAAACATGACGAAAAATGTTGTCACAAAGCGGATTAAAGTATAAAAATATTTGTGGCAACACAAACTTTCTGATCACTATTTCAGAAAGCAGCTATATTATGTAGTCAGCTGTAAAAAGTTGGTAGTAAATTGCTTTTAAAATAAATAAGTTATCCCAATTCTTGGGACAGTCACCTATTCGCACATCTTATGGGTTTTAAGGTGTATGAGTCCCCTTAAGGGCAACTACGTTAGATAATTGTGTTTAGCTTCGGTTAAGTCTCTTTCAGTTAATTATAGTTTAGTTTCTTATTTCTTATTCTGAGTTAAAGCCCGAGTAGAGGCTTCCTGTAAGCCCGAGAAGGGAGCCGACTGTTATTCTTATTTGAGTGAATAAAAGGGTATTTTTAACCCTTCTCGAGTCTACGTCTTAGTTGTTTTGAACTCAGCGATAAGTCGCTACATAGTTGACTAAGTTCCTCGACGTTCATCTTAGACAAGGAGTTAGGAACCTTATAATGTCATGAACCTTTTTATATGTAAAATTTTTTTTAAATCACACGGAATTCTGCATTAGCAATATAATTACCTTGTATAAGACAGTACTCAGGCCTGCTATGCTTTATGCTGAGTTATGCGTGGAAAACCCACATGCTCCAAGTACAAATCATTCAGAACAATATCCTGTTAACGAATTACAAACACTTCCTGGTACATCAAGAGCTCTGTCGTATAAAGAGACTTAAAAATCGGACCTAAATGACTGCATCAGGAACAGTGCAATCAAAATTTATTTTTTCTATCAAACATCATAAAAGTTCTCTTATTGCCATTCAAAAAGGCACCCTTTTTTTCAAAGAGAATTACTTATGCCCAGCCAACACCACTCTTGTGAAATATACATATTCCATCATTGTCACACATATTGTTCCAGTAAACCTCTATTATCCCGTCATGTTCAGTTGGAAGTCATACCCCCACTCAGTTATATATTCTTATCTACATTTCATTGATTTCTGTTATCGCAAATTTTGATTTTTCCTCTTACATCCTCCCAGGACTGTTACCAACTCTTCACCTTTAAAGCAAACGCCCAATTGCCTCTATCCAGATTAAAAGCCATTAAATAACATACACACACACACACACACACACAAAATTAAAAAAAAATCTAAAACCTTTTAGATTTTATTTTACGTCCAAAGAGGTGTTTTCTACCGTTTTCTGGATCACCTTTATTTTTTAAATATCACGTTCTTCTCACTTAAACCATAAAATCCAATTCAACAGCAATATCACAAAATATTTAAAAAGAGCATATCTTTAGAAATTCCGTTACTGAGTTTCACGCGCTGGAGATTTTTTTTTTTTTTTCTAGTACAGTGTTGCCGTTGCTCCCTTTGAAATCATTGACTTTCTTCATCAAAAACCTCATAAATGCTTTACAAAACACTAAATAGATAATAAACAAACTTCAGATTCCACATTTGGGCTTCAACATGCCCATGTTCGTGTGGAGATGTACGTTATTCAAACTGGATGGCTCTAGGTACCGTTGTTTCATCACAATGCGAGAAACACATACATTTATACATTTATACAGATTCTTCATTATTTAATTTCTTTAAATATAATACATTTTGAAATGCGCAATAATGTTTGTTGGCAACGATTTGAAAAGTGATTTAGACTTTTGAAGTTTTCGACGCAAAATGTCAAAACGAAATTAATAGCCCTTCAGGGCTAACGCCCTGTAGGTATGACCGTTCTCCCATATTGCTACGAAATCATATCCTCATAAATACTTCATTTTCTTAAAAGGAACTAAAAATTCAAAAGTATGATTACTTACGTTCTACGAGTTCTTTAATTTTTGCCAAGGACTCCTTCTTTACGAGCGATGTCTCACAAAGTTCTCTTTCTGCTATTTTTTCCATTTCAGGCGTTAAACCTTCCATTAAGAGCGGAGTGTAATCCATGTCTTATTGCTGATATGGAGGCAAAGTATATGCAGCAAAGTCCTGCTCCTTAAAATATATAAAATGAATGAAAAAGAGATAAAAATCGCAAAACTCGACATTGTCGACAAGTCAAAACAAATGTAAGGAATAAAAGAATTAGCACTTTAGTATTTATGAATCTAAATAACACATAGTTAACATATGACTCAAGGTCATCAGGAAATGAATGCATTCAAGAAGTAATTCATTACGTAAGTTAAGAATAATTTGGGGAAACCGAAATATTCCGCATATGATGCAAATTCGCTAAATCCCTCCCACGCTACGTGATATGCCAATCACATATAGAAAAAAATAGCACGTGGCATATCATTTCTCTTAAGTGCCAAACGTAAATCGTCAGCTCGTTTCAAATATCTCCACCACCACCAATCTTTTTCTTCCCCTTCTTTTCGAGCTACGGCAATGTTTACGAGATGTCAAATTTTATATTAAGTCTGCTATTGAAGAAACATATTTGTCTTAGAAAAAGGCAATTGAAAAGACTGGAAAACTGGCTCAAAAAGGCTCCCTTTAACAGCCAACGTATGTCTATTAAAATTCAGGTAATTGACAATTTAATTATTATCAGTACAGAGGTTTTTGAATAACCTGCCATTGAAAGAGTTACAAGGTATTTCTCCCGCCTTCCTAGCGTGTCTTCGTGGTGTAGTGGTTCTGCATGCTGGGCCGGGATTCCAGAGATCCGTGGTTCGATTCCCAGCGAAGGCGATTGCTAATTTTTCATCTTGCCTGCTTCCAAAAATATGTCTAATGTCTCTACAGAGTTGCCTCAGGTTTTTATTTATCCTTTGATGATAACATGATGGTGTGGTGTGTTTGATTAAGGCTAAGCACTCGAGGGCTATCTGCCTAATGATAGGAATGCCTTCTTGGAGGACTTTCTAAGGAGAGCTGGATCGTATACACGTTACATATGGGAAAATCACGAAAACTTTCATGCAGGCTGGTTTATGCGATTATATTTTATTTTGTTTATGTGATTAGGAGAAAACCTCGAAGGCTATCTGCCTAAGGGAAGAAATGCTTTCGTGGAGGACTTTCTAAGGCCAGTTTGAACAGCGAGTTGGTCTTTTTTTAAGCAAAACACAAGAAAAATGTGCAATGCCCTTACCGGGACTCGAACGGTGGATATCTCGAATACGCATCGAGTATTTTTCCAATCACACCACGTATACACGTGGATAAGAGGTAGAAAATACCTTATATACTCCCCCCTTTTAAAAAGCGACTGGGGATTAGGGGGCTCAGTTGCCGCATCGTGGTGGTGAAGAATTATCGTCCACTACCTTTTAGTTCGGGCGCCACTTGTAGAGTGATTTGTTTTTTTAAAGCAGGAGACGTAATAAATGTGCTGTGGCCTCCTCGGGACTGGAGCCCAGGACCTCTCGAACAGCCATAAAGTATGCTTCCAGTTACCATGCGGAACGGAGGAAGAAAATACTCATTATTAAATAAGTATTTTCTTAATACTTATTTAATAATTAGTCATTATTTAATAATTAGGAGAAAAGTATAATAAGGACAATTGTGTGGTTATTATAAAAGAAAAAAGAATTTGATTCCCATAAGACAAAAATTGATCGAGATATTTAATTTCAAAATTTACCATTTTTAACGTAATCGATTTTCATTATGGGGTGGCTAATAAATAAATTAGAATATCTCGTGATTGATTTTTTTATCCTTAAATGCCGTTCAAGGATTTCTGATTTACTAGCGTCTTACATTTTTAATTTTGTTACATTTGGTATGACGAAAGAAGAAATTTAGTCTAAAAATACGTTATTAATATTCTCATGAAGTTTTATTACCTTAAAACCATGGCTTGGTAATTGTACAAAAAATTTATTAAGCTGTATATGTTTTTCTTTTTTAATTGATACAAATTATATTACTGATTGCTGTGTGCTCATATGGAAGCCTGCCATTGTTTTCTGGAAAAAAAAGCTGATGTATACACCACATGACTTTCTTGCACGGAATATTGAATTATACGCATTTTTTCCATGCATTTTATGATGTTGGGATGTCCCCAACTTGTCAGCAACAGTAGTAGTGACTGCTATGAACTCGAAATTACACAAACTCTTAAGAATGGCTTCTTTTTATTATTATGTATTCCGCGCGCTTAAAGTTTCTTCCTCTGAATCTTTGCTTACCAATGAACTTAATTATTTGAGAGCAGTTGCGATTGACCGTGGATTTTCTCCCTTGATTATTGATAAAGCCGTTAAAAATTTTTCAGATTCCCATCAAAGAAGACATTCCACTGTTAGAAATAATATTAATGACCTTGTCGTGCTTCCATTTTATCCTTCTGTTAGCTATAAAATTGCACGGATTCTCCAGAAATTCAATAAATTCAATTTTCAAGTCAGTTTCTACCCTATTAATAAAATTCACCCTTCGATTCTAAAAGATTGCGTTTCTGTCTTGAATTCTTCGGGAATTTCGTATATCGTGTCAGTGTGATTTAAGATATATTGGCCAAACAAAAAGAGCGTTGAAGTTTCGTATCAAGGAACATGAATCTTATGTCAGAAAAGGCGACATTAACAAGTCTTCAATAGCGTATCATAGTTGGACATTTAACCATAATTTTGACTTTGGGTCTGCAAAAATTATCCAAAAGGCTTCTTCCATAGGCGAATTGGATTTTCTTGAGGCTTTTCACATTCACAAAGATTTAGCAAAGTTTGTAAGGATCTTAAGTTTTACTAACGTTTATTTTATTTTAAATCTTTACTATCACTTCTTATTTTCTACTTCCGGCCAGAATTATAAGCGTGAAGGAGTTTATGCAAAGTTGTCTGGCGAACGCCAAGTATTTAAGTGTGGCCTTTTTGCCAAGCAGAAGAGAGGAAGCCGTGAGTTCGAAGCAGGCCGCTTACCTTAGAAGTTACGCAGTTGCTACTTTGCCTTCCAGGCCAGAGGTTTTAATCCTCTTGATAAATTAAACGTATTGTAGTGTTCACAGTCTTTGTGCTACATACGCTTCCTGTTATTATAAGGCCAATCTTATTCTAAAGTTAAATTAGAGTTTAGTTTTATTTTGATATCTTTTAAGTTAGACCCCGAGTGGAGGGTCATTGTATTCCGAAGTACGGAAGTCATTGTATATAAAGAAAAAAATAAAGGGTTTTGTATACCCTTCGTCTGTATCCTGTCTACTTACTACAATTAGTGAACATAGCTTTAGTAAGCTCTCTGTTCTAGTCAGGTCATTGTATGTTTCCGAAGAAGGTTAGAAGAAACATTGAACCTGATAGTGGCGCCCGACGAATAACCATGGCCGAGTTTCAAGAAGAACCTGTGCTGCCTGCAGAAACAGCTCAGAATCCAGAAATGCCAGCTGCCGCCCTGGAAGAATTTGGGTATATTGTCCAGACCATGCGCGCTTCGATGAAACCAGAAGCAACGTTTAATGGAAACTCACAGGTAACCAGTTTTTTGGAAAAATTGGATGACCACTTCATGCTCTACCCCGTGCACGAGTTTCAAAAAGTTACCTTAGCTACCAGCGCTTTGAGGGGCCAAGCGCTTAACTGGTTCAAATGTATCGGCAGAAGTCTCTTGGGTCAAGCAGGAAGTCCCACCTATACCTACGAAAATTTCAAGACTGCCCTACTAAAAGCTTTCCCTGTTGTAAGGGATCGTGCGAAATTAGAAACAGAACTTTTCAGTATATATCAACAAAGAATGGAAAACCTCTCGAGTTTTATTTTAAGAAAAATTCACGTTTTCAAGCTCTTGTATGGAAACCGTCCGGATCCTGAAATAATTCAAGTGATTTTGCCGAGGCTACTACCCCAAGTGCAAGACTTTATTGAATTGAGAAATCCGACTACACTGGAAAAATTATTTGAGCTAGCAATCCAGTTTGAAAGTAGAAGAACGGCGGACGTCGAAAGAAGACGCCAATATCAACAGCGAAACCAATTTGGTACGCCAAGACTACAGCAAACTCAAGCACATGGCTACGGAGAAAAAGCGAATCAGTGGGCAAGGAAACCCGAGCATTCAAAAACAGCCGGCGAACGTCGACAGTTCAATAGCAACCCAGGAAAAAAGTCTCAAGGCCAGTGGAGAAGAAAGAAGGAAAGCACCGAAAGAAAAAATAATTTAAACTAAAACGGATTTCTGCTGACGAGAGGGTGCGGAAATCCGAAGGCCACGAAAACCCCTCTTCCTACAAGTTAAATACAGTAATGGTGAAAAATTTAACTCTTCCGAAGATTGAAGTCTTGGTAAATAATATCCCCGGCCACCGCACTCCTGGATACCGGCGCGCAGTGTTCCTGTGTGGCAGAAGTCTTTTTTAGAAAGTATTTTCGCAAATACCGCATATATAATGCGGATAATACAACAGTATTAGCGGCGCAAGGAGAACAATGTAAGTGCGTAGGTAAAGTACCTTTGTACATCCGTATCAAGGACGAACAAGTAAAGGTGATGTTTTTTATACTAAAGAATTTGCAAGCACACTTAATACTAGGAATAGACTTTCTTTCAGACGCACAAGCTACACTGGATTTTAATGAAGCGTCTCTTAAGCTGACGATGAAACCAGTGCGTGTAGAAAAGGTTGAACCGCCGAGGTTAAATCTTGACCACCTGCCTAATGACGAGCAAGATAGAATCCGACAAGTGGTAAGTGAATTTGCTTCCTTATTTAGTGATATTCCAGGATTTACCCAGGTTACTAACCATAGTATTGACACACCGGAGATGCATTGCCGGTTCGTCAAAAACCATACCGGTATGATAAGAATAAGGAAAAAATTATAGAATGGCATATTACCGATATGCTACGTAAAAAGATCGTAACGCCTATCTCAAGTAGTTATGCTAGTCCGGTGGTTTTATGTAAGAAAAATAATGATTATCCTTTGGAGCATCCAAAAAGGTGGAGATTCGCTATTGATTACCGTAAATTAAATTCCATAACGAAATATCCGGTATATCCGTTACCGATTATAGAAGAAATTTTAAGGAAC